AGAAATGATAGAAAATGAATTGTTCAACATTTCTTATCAATGCCATAAGGATGCTTTCGTCTATGATTAAATTAGCTGCAACAAACATGTACATTAATACAGTATAGCCTATGCAATGAATGTTATATCACAGACAGTATATAGGGTCTGTGGTTATATTTACTCGAGTCAGTTATCGTGAAGTATAAAATTATGCAAAACCACGTGTCATGAATTATTTATACAGGGTATAGAATGTTGCATCTCTAACTCGTTAGAGTTTTTCGAATAACAGAATGCTGATACGGCCTAAGGCTAAGAGATGTAGCCTACTATCAATTTACAGTAATTGTTTTTTGTTTGTTTTTTTTGTTTAATTTGTTTCTGGTAGGTGTTCATCGATTGAGCAGGTTTAATCATTTAGTAAATTCTGTGTTTATTGGTGGCAGACCGAACATAGACATATTTCCATTGACAGATCTACCAAGTCATAAAGGCATACTGAGAACAACGGGACGATCTAGCTTTTTGTGAAATGGTGGGGCGCAATATTAGAATTAGTTTATTTTTACAGAGGCTCTACCGCGAAAACTGTTTTCCTAACGCCTAGATAAAATATTAAATATTTTCATAATGATGTGGGCGATACAAAGTTTGGGGTGACATGGATTGTGTGAATTTGGAAGCATTAATGCAGACTTAATTAAATTGCGTTCAAGCTGGAAAGGGTCCAAGTTCAGAGCCGGGTACAAATTAACGGTTTCGGTTGATATGCGAGTTTCTTTATTTAGTCTTATATTATTACTTCCAGAGAACAAAGCGATCAATAATAATAATAAATAATAAATAAATAACAATAATAATAATAATAACAATCGTCTTCATTTGTCCTCAAATGTAATACTCCATGGAAATTAAATGGGCTGGGTACCTGTGGACCCACGAAAGCCGCAGTTTAGCTCCACTACAACTAACCCGCCTAAATCTCCAGAAAGGATTATTCGAGGAGCTGAGCTTTTATAAAAGACCCGAATTCAATACTCGGATGTAGAGCCGGGTCTCGAACCCGGGCCCTGACGTGCAAGAGGCAGGAAACATACCAGTTGGCCAAACGCTCAGCTCGGTCTTTAGATCTTTAGGAATTCAGGCAGGGACCCACGGTTCTGATGTTCAGGTAGAATAATTCGAATGTTTTTATATCTTTTTATGATTGGTCTGACAAGAACTCGCGATTACGAGCTCAATAAAATAAATGCCCCAGAGAGAATTCGACGGTTCTGTAGTGTATTAGTAGCAAGTTTAAAATTAGTTAACGGTATTTTATTTAGTCATTGTTACTCTACATCGCACTGGAATTGTTGATTTTGAATTCGATATACGGAAGCTTTTTTTGAATACAGAATCTAAGGAAGAAATATGGGGCTATGCCAAAACCAGGACCAAAACAAGAAATTTGACCTTTGACTACATTCATATTTTCCACATTATAGGCTTTAAAACGATGGGTCATTTACTGGATTCGACTTATTACCAAAGTTATAAATAGTAAAACTAGTAATTTACAGCTTCTGAATTATACAATACTGCACATTCTTAAGCTATTCAATTTAACCCCTCACACCATAGAAACAACTAATTCTAGCATTGCGGACCTTTACCAAAAAAAGAAAAAAAAATGGTATGTCCAAACAAAAAATCCTCACAGCTGTTGATGGTGCACTGGTGTTTTAAATATTTGCGCACGCCCTCTACCCCCCCCCCCCCCCAAAAAAAAGATAAAATCACGCTTGAGTACCTTAGTTAAAAATCACCTTATTTTGCGAGCTAGCGCCCCTCACATGCATCGCGCCTCCCACGTGACCTCTGTCCCCACATATCAGTGCCCCCACCCATCAGCTCCCCCTTTCAAGACTCCTAGATACGTCACTGGAACCTTGCCATGGCCTCGTCCAAAATCGCAGAAATACCATGAGCATTCTGGGATTGGAAAGCAAGCATTTTTAACCACCAAGCTACACTGTAAAAACAGCGTGAATGATTTAACGCAAAGCTCTAATCAATGTTGTCCTTCTTTGGTGGCACGTTTTAAAAAGCTAAACGTGTTTAGGCCCGGCCTAATGTGTTTAGGTTTCTGACGTGTTTAGCATTTGTGCTTAGATATTTGACATCATGATGTCAAATACCTAACCACATTTAATTCTGAATACGTCAAGATCCTAAGCAAATTAAGATGTATCTAAACACGTTTACCTTTTTAAACGTGTCACCAACGACGGGACAACATTGCGTGGAGGTTTGCCTTTAAATCCTCAACGTTGATTTTATAGTGTATTTATTTCACTCCATTTACACAAATAGTAAGCCACATAATTAAACATGACTAATTAACAGAGAGCTAAAACTGTTGCCAATCAATTGTTGTTGTCCATTGATTGTTTAATATACAGTACAATTATATCTATTTTTGTTTATCTAGATTCAAGGTTTATTAC